AGTATCTAAGACAAGTTTATGCATAAATACCTAAATAATCCACTTGAGTAATTAACAACCCTATTCATAGCCCATTGCAAAATGATTGTATCATAACAATAGAAGCGAAGCGAACGCGGTTTTGTGTTGTGACCTGTATTGGATGGCTCTAGGCAGAGTCGGCAAAGCTAGGAGAAGATTGGAAAGACAATCAGAAGAAGAAAGTTGCACTGATTGACAGGCCAATGAGCCCACCATGTGCCCAAAATTACACTAGTCAACTAGGCTTGTCCTCTACACACGACTTCCTTTCATTGTCAATTACCTTCATACTAAACCATTTTACTCGGCGCTTTGTTTTAGACTCGTTTCACTACTCTAATTCAGGTTTTTATTTTTTTTATTTTTTGGTCTTTTTTGTTTTGGCCATCACTTCTCTAATTCAGTTAAAATCCGTTTAATCGCCTTGAATTTTGAGAATTTATGATTTCATTATAAGTTAAATTATGATACATGTTTGGGATGAATGGCCAGACTTACTTCTTTTACCTTGAAGAAAAAAGAGGAAATTAAAAAAAAAAAAAAGATTGGACAAAGAAAGTCATCAGTAATGTTCATTTATGCTAAGGTGTGAGTTGAAAAAAGGAGATTATATAAATGGTTATGGTGGTCCTCACAGCTCAAGTACAAAGTCATTTTTCACTATACATATATATATATATATATATATAATGAATAAGTAGGCTCAAAGATATTAGTTGCCACAAAAATAGATTTTGTTACCATTTTCTCAAATATCCGGGATTTTTAATTTAGTTTTATTTCCATTTTCTCATATTTATTTATAAATAAGATATTAATTGATACATTTTGGTTTTGATTTTATTCATATTTTCTCATATTTATTTATAAATAAGTTACTAACTGATACATTTCGGTTTCATACGCTACATAATACGTTTATTAAAATATTATTATTTTTTATCCAAAATTAAAAACAGATAAATTTAAAAATACAACAATGCATACAAAATATAAGAATTGACTAAATCATTTATACTTATATTATGTTTTTAATTATTGAACCGGACAAATATGAAAAATGTATCAAACTGAGTGTTTACCAATGATTTTTCTTTATAATTAAAATTGTTAACTACTAAGGTATCTTGTAAATAACTCGAGTAAAGTTCAACATTAATACCAAACTCAATATTGAATTCAATAAAAATAAATAAATTTGAGCTCCAATTTACATGTGTACTTGGGAGTCTTACTAGTACTAAGTTTAGAATTAACAATTATATTTATATTTATAATAATTTAAATACATAATAATTTATAAACTTAATAAAACTACAAATAACTCTTTTTTTTAAATGACAATTACATTGATAGTATTAGTATATATTATTTAGAAGATGGGAGAGTATCAAACCTAACGCTCAAACTGCACATTAGCAGGGATGCCATCAGTTTCCTTTTCCAAAAAAAACGTGATCACTTAAGTTACATCACTGATTAGCAAGACTGAAAATAACTTAAGCTAAATAAATAACTGAGCTTGTTAAACTTGAGTATTTAAGACAAGTTCATGCACAAAAACTTAAATAATCCACTTGAGTAATCAACAACCCTATTCATAATCCATTGCAAATTGATTGTATCATAACAATAGGAGCGAAGCCAACGCGGTATTGTGTTGTGATCTGTGTTGGATGGCTCTGGGCAGAGTCCGCAAAGCAAGGAGAAGATTGGTAAGACAATCAGAAGAAGAAAGTTGCACTGATTGACAGGCCAATGAGCCCACCATGTGCCCAAAATTACACTAGTCAACTAGGCTTCTCCTCTGCACACAACTTCCTTTCATTGTCAATTACCTCATACTAAACCATTTTGCACGGCGCATTATTTTAGATTCGTTTCACTTCTCTAATTCAGTTTTTTTTTTTTTTTTGGCCATCACTTCTCTAATTCAGTTAAAATCCGTTTAATCGCCTTGAATTTTGAGAATTTATGATTTCATTATAAATTGAATTATAATACATGTTTGAGATGAATGGCCAGACTGACTTGTTTTACCTTGAAGAAAAGAGAGGAAAATAAAAAAAGATTGGACAAAGAAAGTCATCAATAATGTTCATTTATGCTAAGGTGTGAGTTGAAGAAAGGAGATTATATAAATGGTTATGGTGGTCACCACAGCTCAAATACAAAATCATTTTTCACTATATATATAGATATATATTATTTTATGGTATTCTCCATGTATTTTGATTTGTGAAAGTATATGGAGATGTGGTTTTAGTCCACCAAGCTGGGGCTAACATGATAGATTTTTCTAGCCGACGACTTGAGTAGTCCACTAAATTGAGGCTAACATGATAGATTTTTTTAGTCAGTAACTTAAATAATTTAATAGTAAATTTTTTTATTAAAAGTAAGAGATTTTGAATTTGACTCACAAGATACGAGTATAGAATGAATTGACTGATGAAAAAATTACTTCTTATTATAAAAAAAAAAAACAAAAAACCAAAATGATAGTTCCCTAGTAAAATGTGAAAACGAAAAGGGTTTCAATAGAACATGGTTGTGTGTTAGGAAAATCTAAAAGGGGAGAGATGCCTTTGTTGCCATCCAAGCCATGGGGGACTGGAAGGAGAGCCCACCATGGGAAAAGTTGCCAGTTAGTAAATTTTGGCAGCTCATTTCTTGACCTCAAAGATGGCACCTTTTGCACTTCTTCTAAGTTTCACTCTTTTGAAATAAACTGAATTTTCTTCTAAAGGGATTAGAATGAGACAAAGCATATTCTCGAAGTTGGACTTGTTATTGTTTGACACCTCACTTAAAATTTTAAAAAATAAAATTTATTGAAAAATTAAGTTCTTATAATTAAAAAACAGAGTCACCACTCACTCATCTAATGGTAGAATAAGTTATTATGAATTTTAATCTTTCACAATTCAAAGATTCAATTAAAAATGAAAAAATGGTATAAATATACTTTATAATTTTTTATGTCAAACATGATTACCTACTTAAAAGTTGCCACTTACTCATTTATTGGTGGAGTAACTCATTGTGAATCCTAATCTTTCATGATTCAAGGATTTGATTAGGAATGAAGAAGACTATAGATATACTTTACAATTCTTCATGTCAAACATGA